AAGCTGTCGATCTAAACGACGACGAGCTGCGCGCCATGGGAGAAGCCGACTCCACGACTAGAAACAAAAAGTCGCGAGTCGCCTTCTTCCTCGACTGGCTAGCGGCCAAGGGTGAAAAGCTACCCGTGAGGCCGGAGGCGGTGCAAAGATTCGCCGCCTTCCTAGTGTTCAACGAATACACCTCAGTCGCGCAGTACACATCCAGCATTTTCCCCTTCCCTTGGGTACCCCCCAAGGCCTGCTCCTGGGTGCGAGCAGGATCGTCACGGACTACCCCCCGGGCGTTGGAAGGTTGGAGCCATTGGCGTCGCTCCGTAAAACAGCCTCCCCACCCTAGTAGTTAACCCTCCTCAAGTAGTTCCCTTCAGTACTCTGGAGTCGAGTGGCCGCCTTCCTCCTTGGCGTGGGGTTAGGTAGTGCTTTGCTGCGCGTGGGGCGTGTGGCTTTGCGCTGGCTTGCTGGTCTCTTCTTCCTTCGGGGCATCCCTGGGCCATGTTTTTGGCTGCTTCTGGGACATCCTCCTGGTGGCGCTTGGGGTGTCTCATCCCCGTACAAAGAACAACTAGAAGAAGCTTAAGACGCTGCGAACGGGGTCCCCGTTCGTGCCGCAGGTGTCCCCTGTGCATAGAAGTCCAGACTACGGCTGGGGTAAAGTTTCGGGCTTTGTTTAATTGTTTAGTAGGTGCTTGGGGGTGCCATAGTCTGGGCTTTAGTTAGTTTAGCAGTGTGGAGCGTAGTAGTTGCCAGGAGTCTCACTCCTCCCAGCCTGTGCTCTGGTTGTGCGGCAGTGGAGTCGAGTGCGGGGGTGTGGTCGTCTGCCCCCGGGGTGGCTGAGCTCGCCTTCGGGTGTGGTGCTCGCCGCGTGTCCGTGAAGTGGGCTTCCCTTCGTCTTCTCACGTGATCACTACTGCGTGAGGCAGTGCCGTCTTCCTTTCAGGCTGGTTGACTGGCTTCCCTTCCCCTTCCCTCCTCTCTTCTTGTTGGCGAAAAAAGAAAAAGGAAAAGTAGGCAACTCACCTTGTGCGCTCCCTTGCCCGGGTTTTGGGCGTGGATCCCCTACTCTTTGAGTGTGCTGCGTTTCTGACATGGCAGAGTCGCGAGGGGGACCTCGGGCATGTTGTTTTTGGTTCTCAGCATAGTGGGTGAAGCACTACGTTTAGCACCACATACTACGTGTACTTCCCTCAAACCGGCTTAGTGGAACCGTCCGCATTGAAGTCCCTGAAAAATATGGGACTCATGCTTCCGCCGGCGGTATGCCACTGGTTCCACGCGCACAAAGCGCACGCGGTGCAGTCAGGCTGTCGCAACGACGCTCAACACCTGGAATGCACACACCACCACCTAATCGACCGCAACCGTCCTCCCCCAGACATCACTATCACCAAGAGAACGTGGGCAGAAGTGATCCGCTCGCAAAAAGAGCTGGCCGAAGTCCTCTTCTCGGCCCGGTTGGCAGGACGAAACATCAACCAGCAGCCAACCGGCACAGCGGCAAAACGAGCGGCAGCGAAGGACAAGGAAGCAATCCGCCACCCGAAAGACTTCGTAAAACCGAAAGTCCAGCCGATGAAGGCGATGAAGGCCAAAAACGGCCGAACACGCCGCCAACCGAAAGGACCCCAGCGAAGCGACGCAAACGCGGTTCCGCTGGGACAACGGCATCGCAACGACAGTCGCGAAAAAGACAATCGTGGCCGCAACAAATCGAAGCGATCGAACGAGCGCAAAAACAAAACAGCCGCTCACTTATAACCCTAAAACGCCACGACTGGACACACCAAGAAAACCAGCGCAAAACGCCTTTTTTTTATTTGCTTGTGTTCACTTTTTCCTTATAGGGACCCCCTCTTTTTCTTCCTTTCTCTCAGTTGTTGACCCTGTCTGCCTCTTGGTAGCTTCCTCGCGCTTGTCCCTCCTTGGGGCGGAAAGGCGACGGCGCAGGCAGGTCCCCCTGGTGATATGTGCCTGGGGTCCATCCCCTCAGGCTTGTGTTCTTACCACCATGGTGGTGGTACTGCGTTCTTCGGGCCTCGGCGGGCGGCGGCGGCGGTGTCCTTGGTGATCTGGGTGCGCCGCCTTGCCGCCCGGTCCTTTGGTGGCACCGCAGTGCTGTGTGTCTATCCAGTGGCGCGCTGGCGCTGGGCAGGGCGTCGGTGCAACCGAGCGCGTGGGGCTGGCAGTGTGCTTCACTCGATCCTTCAGTCGTTGCTTGATTCTCGTCTGTGGTGGATGCGTGATATTGCAGATGCGGGCATGGTAGCTTGCTCAGCTGCCTTCCTTCCTTCGATGGATGGATCACTCCCAGCGAGGGAGGGGCTGCAAGTGAGAGCGAGAGGGCGAGAGAGATGACAGAAACCACGGAAACCAACGCAGAAGCAAGAGGAGAGAGCGAGGTCTGGGCGAGAGAGTAACCAAGCACAGACAGAGTGAGAGAGGCAGAGCGAGCCCACTCCCGCCCGCGTTTTCCGCGAGCTCATGCTCCGTCGCGCGGTCGCATGCAGAGTGAGAGCGAATTGGAAAGATCGGCTGGCGCGTCTTCGGTGAGGCTGAAGGCGCTTGTCCGTCGGGCGCGGTGCCTGCCAGTCACACACTGCCTGCGCGCGGGTATA